AGAGCGCCACCAACCGACTGCCAGATTCAGACGTCTTGGGTAGCATTGGAGTGATCAGCCAGCGCAGCTGCCTCGGCGGCAAGCCGATGGGCTCCATCGCCGTGAACATCAGAGCGACCACTTCGAGCGCCTGATCGTCCAAGAAGGAAATGACGCGGATGAACATGATCAGGCGCCGCTGTGGTGTTGACCGAGAAAGATCGCGCAACTGCACGTATTTCATCAGGAGTCGCCTTCGGCAGCGCCGTTCGGTCAGGAATCCAGGCTGGCGCAGGTCGGGAGTTGGACCATAGCCTCTTGCGCAGCTCCACCTCGTGCCGAACAACATCATGAACATGAGCTGGCACACCATGGGCCGTAGTGACCACCGTAGGCTGAGCAAAGCCTCGGTACTTTGTGGTACGGTGGAGGACACGCGAGCCAGCGGAAACAGCCATGGCACACCACTCCCTCCACTTCTGGTGATCCTCCTGAGTAGCTCCAGCGAGTGCGAGCTTGACGCCAGCCTCGATGTCACCGAGGAACTCGCGGCATGCCTCCTCGTCGAAGACAGCCTGCGCCAACCCGCGCGCCTGCTGAACAGCTCGATCGAGGCGCGTAGCGAAACCCTGCCCGTGGTAGTTGGCCGCGGTGAAAGTGAGGATCTCCTCTGCCGCCATCGCCAAGTCCCTCGCGGACGGGTGGACCATCGTCTTAAACTGCATAAGGCTGAGGATGGAAGACTGCAACCACTGCCATCCCTCTACCGCGGCTTGCAGGTCGGACATGTCTTTCATCGCGTAGGTGATGTCGATCCACCGAGGCTGCAAGGGACGCGCAAAACCATTACGTAAGAGCAAGGCGGCCCTGGTGGCCGACAGCATCAGCAATATTCTCGGCCGCTGTGATTGCGAAATGGCCCCGCGCCGCCGAAAGGAGGCCCCATCCGACTCCAGGAGGAGACCGAGGATCAGCACAGGCCTGGACGGCAGCTTCAGCAACACAGCGAGCGCTGGTGTACTCGGGCGGCTGCGCCTGCGGCCTGATGATGATCTGAGTGTCCATCTTCGACGCCACCGTGTAGACCAATCGCTTGACATGCTCAGCATCACCATTGAGAACAGCGTAAACGGGACGATGGCCTCTCTTGGCCCACTTGACATCAATGCCCGGACTCGCGTGCATCCTCATGGCCGCTGAGTTGAAGAGGAAATAACCAATGACGGACAATCGAACACCCAACATGAGCAGGACATTGGCTCGCTTCTAACTCGCCAGGGCACATGTTCCAGTCTCCGCCGATGACGACGGGGCCGTCCAATGCCTCAGCAGCAAGGCCCAACTTCTGCAACAGTCTGCCGTTGCGCCCAGCAGCGCCCTCGCCCGTGCACAGGCACACGTTGAAGACATGCAGGCCGACAGGCATCTCGGGTATATCAAGAAGAACGTGCTGCACTCGGTTCGGTGAGACCGCGTGCGAACCAAGAGTCGGAGGGCGCAGCCCGAGGCGATCGCGCACAGCAACAGCAACTCCTGCCGATGATGCAGAACCACTGGTCGGCAGGCTCGGCAACGCCATGAGCTTCCAACCTCGCGCACCGCACCACGAAGCCAATGCCTCCACAGGTGCTCGCTGATGCGCCCGAACTCCTGCAGCAAAACCACACTTGCAGACGTGCTGGCAAGGCGCTTCTTGACGGGCGCCTTGCCGCCACTGGCGTTGTAGGACTCAGTGCTGAACTCAGCGCCCTCGACCGGCCTGGCCCCGCTCGGCGTTGCCCTCCCGCGCCCAGGCAGTCCGCAGACGACGGGCCAGGCAGCCGCTGGGCTACCCGTGCCGCGCACGCTTGGCCGCCAGCTCGGACCACATGGTGTCGATTGCGGGGGCGAAGCCGTCGATGCCCCCCTCACTCCGCGCATGGAAGAGGGCCCGCTTCTGCACGTCCGCGGGGGCAGGCATAGCTTCACCAGCGGCGTCAGCAGCAGGAGGACCAGCCCCAGCGCTAGCAGCGCGGGCGGCAGCCTTGCTGGCGACCGCCGACTTAAGCTTGGCCCATGTCTCGGACTTGAGGAAGGCAACAAGGTCGGGCCGGTCGGCGACGTCCTCCTCACAGAGGTCGATTTCGGCCGCGACCGTGGTGAGGTTCTTGGCCGACTCGTTGAACGCGGCGTCCAGCGCCGCCACCTCCATCTTCTTGGCTGCGATCGTCTCCTTGCGCATCGCAATGCCCTTGGCCAGCTCATCCAACTGCCGCTCCTTCTCACCCAACTCCTTCTCCAACTTCTCCTAGCCATTCCTCGCCCGCTGCAGATCTTGCTGCGTGCGCCTATGGAGGGCCTAGGGAGACAACAGGGCACGCTTCTCCGCGCGCAGGGTCTCCAACTGCTTCTCGATTGGACCTCGCAGATCCTTGTTGCGCTCGTCAGCGAGTGGGAACTTCCTGAGGCACTCCTCAAGCTCCGTGATCCGCTCCGAGAGCTTGGCACTTAGCGATGTCTTATCCTTGTCAGCGCCGTCTGCAGCCTCACGCCACGGTGCTGTCCCTGCAGGCTTGGGCCACTCCTTGGCAGGCGGCGCCAAGCGCTTCTCGATGGCTTGCAACCACTCCGCGAGCTGCTTGGGGATGCCATGCGCCGAGCCTCCGTGCTGCTTGGGGCCCGACTTCTTGCCGCCGCCGCCGCCAGCCTCGGCCTCCTTGTGCTGCTGCCGCGCACGGGAGACGATGGCGGCAGGCGCATCGCGCCCACAGGGGCACTGGATGCGACACGCCCAGTTCTCCGCACGCCCACTTTGCCCGCAACACCAGAGGGGGCTTGCGCGGGCCGCGGAACACGGTGACCGCTGGCGGCTGCGGCACCATGCCTGAGATGAGAAAGATGCGCCAAGGCGGGGCAGACCACCTCGACGCTCACCCTGGGGCTGACCAGGGGAATGACTGAAGACTGGCCGCGGACTAGCGGTATCCACGTGTTCCCCTGTGGAACAACGCATCTTGAGCCAAAATGGCTACGGGAGAGGAAGAAGAGGAGGAGGAGGAGGAGGAGGAGGAGAAGGAGGAGGAGGGGGAGGAGGAGGAGGAGGGGAAGGAGGAGGAGGGGGAGGAGGAGGAGGGAGGAGGAGGAGGAGGAGGAGGAGGGGGAGGAGGAGGAGGAGGAGGAGGAGGAGGAGGAGGAGGAGGATGGGGAGGGGGAGGAGGGGGAGGAGGAGGAGGGGGAGGAGGAGGGGGAGGAGGAGGAGGACAGGCCCAGCCCGTCGGGTGCGGAGCCCTGGGTCCTGGGCCGCGGAACCCGTTACTATACTTCCTTGTCGCTCGACCCTGGGCGCTCGGGCGACGGCGACGACGGCAGCAACGCCAAGGACGACGACGACGGCGACGGACGACCAACATCCACGACGACCATCTTACGAGCGTGTGATCTAACAAGCCGATGTGGCCTCAGGTGTCTCTCACTCTCCCCTGTACCCGCCCGCCAAGCCTGCGAAACAACCCCCTCCGTTGACTGTTCGTCATGCCAACTCCTGGGAGGAGGACTCGACAATACGCTCTGTGTGAGAACTCCGCCACTTTGGCAGTCGAGCGAACTATCGCAGGCACGGGCCACTCACTAACTTGATCGAATCGCAAGGAAGTATTGAAAGGGAGCGCCGTCCATGAATTCTCAGGCCTCCAAAGCGTCTCAGACTCAGCTGTGAGAGAATATCGATCGGGACCCGTTGTCGTCGCAGTTGGGCCTTCATCAAATTGAGTGAAGCGCGAAGAGCCCTCGAACCGGGAGCACCGTTCCTCAATCGGGAAGCCTCTCTGGCCAGGGCGTCTTGGGGTAAACTGCGAGGAAGTATCTGGAGGAGCCCTTCTCGTCGTAGCTAGGCCTTCAACTTTGCACTCAAGAACAACACCTGGACCCAAGCCCGCGCTCGAGTGGGAGCGTCGTTTCCAGAACAAAGTAGCCCGCGTCGAGGCAAGAGCGCTCGGAGCAGCCCCCACATATCAACAACCACGACTCTCTAGAAGCGAATATCCCACGACGGGGGGGGGGGCGAGTTCCAAGCACCGTCGTGCTCGTCGCCGCCACGGGCCGCGGCCGCCGACATCGTCGTCGCCGTCAACGGCAAACCTGGGGAAACCGAAAGGTGCGGGTACCGCTATTTGGTGGTCTCCAAACCAGGTGGTGAGACACCCGGTGGTGAACCCGATTCCCCAAACAAGTAATTCTGGGTCACCACCGGGTTTGGGGACACGCGGTCGCCACGAGGTTTTGCGTTTCCTGGGCCAGCCAGCGCTCGAAAACCATTGCCCAAATCGCCCAAAACTCACCACCGGGTGTTCTCACCACCACGTTTGGGGACCACCAAGTGCCGCTATACTCCCCGGACCTCTCCCGGGGTGCGCTCTGGCCAAGATTTGGAGGCGGATCCAGCGGTGGCGACTGACTACCTACCAGACCACCCCAACCCAACCCGAAGACCCGAATTTCGGGTTGGGGGGGGTAAGGGTTCCATACGTGTTTTCTCGATGTTCCACGACCCCCCCCCACTGGAAATCGAGGATAAATCTGAGCCTTCGGGTTGGGTTGGGGTGGTTTGGTGGGTGGTGAGCGACGAGCGCCTCCCAGGAGGCCCCCCACAGGGGAAAACAAGACCAAGGGTAGCCCGTGTGGGTGCCTCTCCCCTCGCCGTCGCTCGGACGTCCCGTCCCCCTGCACTCTTCGCCTTCGAGCGCGTATGTCTCGCAAGCTGATCCAAGATGCTCCTCGATGGCCCTCGCCGAAGGAAAAATGGGTGATCCAAGATCATCCTCGTTGGCGCTCGCCGGAGGAACAAGAGATGCTCCAAGATGCTCCTCGATGGCCCTCGCCGAAGGAAAAATGGGTGATCCAAGACCGTCCTCGATGGCGCTCGCCGGAGGAACAAGAGATGCTCCAAGATGCTCCTCGATGGCCCTCGCCGGAGGAACAAATGCCCGGCCCCAGCCATGCCGTGCTCCTCTTCAGGCCGTCCGGGCGCGGCGCGCGGGGCGCACCCAGCGCCGCTGGCGCCGTGAGGCACATCCGGGAGCCGCTGCGCTCCGCCGCGGCCACGGCGCGCTTCGGGGTCACCGGCGTCGACGGGCCGCTCGGGCGGTCTGTGCGCGCGGCGGGGCGATGACGGTGACGGTGACGGTGACGGTGACGGTGACGGTGACGCTGACGACGACGACGACGACGATGACGTCCTCGTCATCGCAGCGGCGGCGGCCAAGGAACCTGGCCGACGGCCTGCCGCGGATGAGGGTGTGCCGAGGGCCTGGCCGAGGGCGGCAAAAGCCCGACGGCCGCCGAGGGCCCGCCAGAAGCCCGCCGAGGGCCCGCCGAGGGCCCGCTCTGCCGCGGCCCCTCGGTCGAGAAGAGCCGGCGGGCGGCCGGGAACGCGCTGGCTCGGGTCGGCCAGGGCGGCCCTGGCCGACCCGTGGCCCTGGCAGGGCCCGTGGCCCTGGCCCGTGGCCCGTGGTCCTGGCGGCCTGGAACGCGCTGCCCCGTGGCCCTGGCAGGGCCACGGGGCAGCTCCCAAACCCCGGCCGGCGGGGGGGGAATTGAGTAGGGGCCAACCGACCCGGCAGTCCTATAGGCCTACCACGGCATGTTCTGAGAACCCCAAGCATGTTCTGAGAACAAACAGTGTTCTTAGAAAATGAACCCGATGTGCTAAAACAAGGCTGTCCTGGCCAGAAATGTTCTAAGAACACTTCGTGCACACCACAAAAGGTTCTAAGAACATTCTTTGGTGAGCCAGAAGCTTCGCCACTGCTTGAGAAAGGGGGGCCCTGCGTCACAAGGCTCACAAACAGAGGCCAGCCAGAGGGGATCCCGAGGGAATTGGCTTACCCCCGCTGGCGCTGAACCCTGCCTGGGGCACGATGTCGGGCTGCGATTGCTGGCCCGATCCAGAAACTCTAGGACCCACGCTTCTGGAGCCCGTGCGGAACAGTAGGAGATCGCCGAAATCTAGGGAATGCCGGAAAAGCTGGAGCGTCTGATCCCCAGCGCGGCGGAGATTGCTCCACCGCTTCCGACAACCTGTCGGGGGAGTGGGAGCGACCCTTGGCGATGGCACGCCTGAACGTCGTTCTGCACTGGATGACGCTCGGGCCTGCCACCGGACATGGGTGCCCTCCCGCTTCCCCCGATAAGAGCTTGGTGTCGGTGGTCCCTATTGACCTCGTTTCTGCCGGTGGTGGAGAAGGAGACAGGAGGAAAGGGGCGACTGCAACACCTCAGTAGTAACGAGTAACGTACAGTCCGTGGCAACACGCGGCAGAAACTGGCCAGAGGCTTCATTAAGTGCAATATTCGAGCACGAATGGACAACGGCGAGAAGAGGAGATGGGACGAGGATGATAAGGAAGGGAGGGAAGAGATCCATCAAATACAGCTGGTCCTCTAGAAGAAGAACATTCTGCATCGTCTGTCGAAACTCCGCGCAGATTTCTCGGATTTGTGCTTGACCCCCCCCCCAGCGCGCGGAGCGCGCCAGGGGGGGGCGCCAGAGGCGCCGCCAGGGGGGTCCCAGCGCCAATCCAAGAAACTTGCGCGGAACTCCGAGAATTTATGCTTGGGCCACCTGTTGTTCTTCGACGGCCCCTTCGGGAACCTTCTGACCTGGGTCAATCCAAACCCGGGTCAGTCAGGCCTTGCAGGATCCTGCAAGATCCTGCAAGATCCTGCACCCGAACCTGGGTCAATGCGAAAGATCCTGCAGGATCCTGCACCCAAACCCGGGTCAGTGCGACCCTGGCCCTGCAGGATCCTGCAAGATCCGGCGCTATGGCTGACCCCCGTTTGCATTGACCCCCGTCTCTTGAGCTGCGACCCCTGATTCGAGAAGGGACAGACCGCCCCGGCAGTCCTAGAGGCCCACCACGACATGTTCTCAGAGCCCAAGATGTTCTGAGAACAAAACAGTGTTCTCAGAACATGAGCCCGAAGTGTTACCACAAGACTGTCCTGGCCAGAAGTGTTCTGAGAACACTTCGTGCACACCACAAAAGGTTTTCAGAACATTCTTTGGTGAGCCAGAAGCTTCGCCACTGCTTGAGAAGGGGGGCCCTGCGTCACAGGGCTCACAAACAGAGGCCAGCCAGAGGGGATCCCGAGGGAATTGGCTTACCCCCGCTGGCGCTAGCACATTTGAGAACACCACAAAAGGTTCTTAGAACATTCTCCGGTGAGCCAGTACGCTTCGCCACGGCTTGAGAAAAGGGGGGCCCTGCGTCACAGGCCCCGGCCGCGGCCCTGGCCGCGGCCTTGGCTCCTCCTCCTGCCTGCCTCCTCCTCCTCCTCCTCCTCCTCCTCCTCCTCTTCTTCTTCTTCTTCTTCTTCTTCTTCTTCTTAATATTCTTAGTATTATTATTATTACTATTTTTATTAGTATTATTATTACTATTATTATTATCTTTATTATTAGTATTATTATTATCATTATTATTATTATTGTTATTATTATTATCATTATCATTAGTATGATTATTACTTTTATTATTATTATTAGTATTATTATTAGTATTAGTGTTCTTATTATTAGTTCTATGATTATTATTACTATGCTTCTGCTTCTGCGTCTGCTTCTTCTTAGTATTGTTCGTCTTCCTCTTACTATTATTATTAGTATTCTGCGTATGCTTCTGTTTATGCTTCTGCTTCTGCTTCTGCTTATCCTTCTTATTCTGCTTCAGCTTCAGCTTCTGCTTCTGCTTCTGCGTCTGCTTATGCTTATTCTGCTTCTGCTTCTGCTTCTGCTTCTGCTTCTGCTTCTGTTTCTGCTTCTGCTCCTGCTTCTGCTTCTTCTTCTTCTTCTTCCTCTTCCTCCCCCTCCTCCTCCTCCTCCTCCTCCTCCTCCTCCGCCTCCGCCTCCGCCTCCGCCTCCGCCTCCGCCTCCTCCTCCTCCTCCTCCTCAGAAGGCCGCAGCCCCAGCCGCGGCCTTGGCTGCCGGCGCCCTGTGGGCTCCTGGGGGGGGGGGGGGGGGGCGAGCGGGCCGCCGCGCGCGCCTGGCCACGGGAGAGGTCGGGGGCAGCGACGGGCATTACCAGCCTCGAACGTATCCCTATCCCTAAGATTGACACGCCAAAAGGCGATGACAATCTTAGGGATTCGCCCTCAAAAAATAAGGGGATCCCTAAGATTGGCATCGTGATGAGGAGGTGCCCAGCATAGGGATAGGGATCTGTTCCAGGGTGGTAAGGGCGTGCTGCTTCTGGTGCCAGCGCCCTCGGGGGGAAGCCAACGGAGGGGATCCTACTGCTTGTCCTCCTCCTCCTCCTCCTCCTGCCGCAAGATCGATGCTCCTCCTCCTCCTCCTCCTCCTCCTCCACCTCCTTCTCCCCCTCCTTCTCCCTCAAAGATCGGAGGGGGGGAGGCAATCAATTGCACCCTGGCGGCATAGGGCCCTAATCGGGTATACAGAATGACGCGGAGCGAGGGGGAAAAGGGGGGTCACGATGCGGGGCCGATGCCGGGGGCCCGGGCACCCTCATCGGGCGCTCGGATCACGATTAGGGGAACAACAATAAACACAAACATAAAAACTCGGAGGTCCGCGCGGATTCCTCGAATCGGCGCGGGGGCCCCCTGACGCCTCCGGCGCCGCCCCTGGAGCGCTCCGCGCGCCAGGAAGGGGGGTCCAGCGCCGATCCGAGCGGACCTCCGAGATTTACATGTTTATGCCACTTCTGGTTCCCCCAGCGATGCAAAATCTGCACCGGAAAACTGCTCAGGGAGCCGTGCCCTCCCGCTCCGCGTGCGGCGCCCCGGGGCGCTCGGCGGGCGGTTCCCTTCGCGCCTTCGCGCCGCCTCCCTGGGCAGAGGCCAGCGCGGCCGCCCCGCGCGAGGCGCTGCCCCCGTCGCGCGCCCAGGGGGGCGGCCTGGAAGAACGCGGGGGGGCGAGCGGGGTGCAAGCAAGCTGCCCCAAAGGTCGGGGGCGGCCAAGAGAGGGGGGTGTTCAGGAGGGGGGCGATCGGGGGGGCGATCGGGGTGCCAGCAATGGAGGGCCACATGCGAGCCCTACCCCTACCCCCACGATTTCCGAGGGCGAGGGTCGGGTTCGCTTCGCTCGGGAGCGACAGAGCGACGTGAACCCCACCCTCCCCCTCAGAAATCGTGGGGGGTAGGGGTAGGGTTCGCATCTGGCCCCCTACTGGATGAACGCGGGGGGGCGATCGGGGTGCAAGCAAGCTGCCCCAAAGGGGCTCCTCAAGGGCGCCCAGCGCTTTGTGGGCCCCGGGAACGAGAGGGCCGTTTTCTCACCGTTCCCAGAAAAACGTCCCTTGAAAATGGAAACGGCAAAAAAACGGCGATGGGAACGGCAAAAAACGGCTCCAGGATTGGAACCGGAGCCCGAACCGGTCAAAAAACAGCGACAGAACCGGTAAACAACGACGTCGGAACCGGGAACAAAAACGGAAAAACGGAACCGGCAAAAAAGCGGCCCTGTCGTTCCCGGGGCCCACTAAGGCCCAGCGGTGAGGAACGAGCAACAGTTACTACGCCAGGTTGAGAGGCCAGCAAAACAGCTCCGCCCGGAGGAAGGCCCATCAAAGCTTGGACTGAGCCAGATGAAGCGGACCACGCGGAACTAGGCGCGACTAGGCTAGATCCAGCCAATTTTCGATCGTGGATCTACCAGGGCCGATGCTGAATCTAGCCTCACAGGAGCTGCACCCAGGGTGCAGAACAATCGCACAAAAAAAGCCCCTTATGGCCCCCCAGGGTCCCGAAGCTGCGAGGTATGCTGAGAGAGGGTGACGCGGTCGCTACTTGCTCGCGCTCGGCTGTCTTCGCCGAAGGCCGCACACACAAGGCCAGAACAAGCGAGGTCGGACGCTTATGCCGCATCCGCAACGCATCCAGATCGTCCAATTTCGACCAACGCGCCGGGCGATGCGTGGCGCGCGCTTGTCTCCGCACCCTCGCGCCCCCGCCCCGACCGCGACGCGAAGGGGCACGATTCGTCTTCGCGCCCCCGCGGGTGATGCGCCCGCGGCTCCGGCGTGAAAAAGAACGCATCGGCGATGCGGCGCGATCCTCCGATCCCACCAGCTCCAGCCCTATCTGGGCGGCCTGGACTTGCTCTGGCTCCCCGTTGGGGTGACTAGGTTCAGTGTGCGTGTCAGGGCGAACTCGACTGTCAACGTCCACTCCCGACCAGGAGTAACGTTACGTCTGTCCACTTCAGCGTGCAAGGAATACCCCACGGGTGCACGTGGGCAAGGTCGTCGCTGTGTGATCAATATCGTACGTGTTTGTTCACAATCAACCTGTGTTGTTGGGTCCTCGTTTTGAGGAGACGGTCCCCGCGTTCTCCTCCTCTTCTCCTCCCCTCCTCCCTCCTCCGTTTCCTCCTTGCGTTTCACCCACCCAGTACAGCGCTTCGTGGCCCCATAGGGAGCTGCACCGAAGGTTCCAGGTCTACCGTCCGCATGTGTCCCCCCCCACCCAATACAGCGTTTCGTGGCCCTCATCCCCCTCCTCCCTGCGTTTCACCCACCCAGTACACCGCTTCGTGGCCCCATAGGGAGCTCCACCGAAGGTTCCAAGTCTACCGTCCGCATGCGTCCCCCCACCCAGTACAACGTTTCGTGGCCCTCATTCCCCTCCTCCCTGCGTTCCACCCACCCAGTACAGCGCTTCGTGGCCCCATAGGGAGCTCCACCGAAGGTTCCAGGTCTACCGTCCGCATGCGTTCCCCCCACCCAGTACAGCGTTTCGTGGCCCTCCCCCCCCTCCTCTTTGCGTTTCGCCCACCCACTACAGCGCTTCGTGGCCCCATAAAAAACTCCACCGAAGGTTCCAAGTCTACCGTCCGCATGCGTCCCCCCACCCAGTACAACGTTTCGTGGCCCTCCTCCCCCTCCTCCCTGCGTTTCACCCACCCAGTACACAGATTCGTGGCCCCATAGGGAGCTCCACCGAAGGTCCCACTGGCACCGCTCGCCTTCGCAAGCCACCTCCCTGCGTTTCACCCACCCAGTACAGCGCTTCGTGGCCCCATAGGGAGCTCCACCGAAGGTCCCAGTGGCACTGCCCGCATGCGTCAGCCACCACCCAGCACAGTCCTTGCTCCCTGCGTTTCACCCACCCAGTACTGCGTTTCGTGGCCCCATAAGGGGGCTCCACCGAAGGTCCCAGTGGCATCGCCCGCATGCGTCCGCCATCACCCAGCACAGCCCTTGCTCCCTGCGTATCACCCACCCAGTACAGCGCTTCGTGGCCCCATAGGGAGCTCCACCGAAGGTCTCAGTGGCACCGCCCGAATGCGTCAGCCACCACCCAGCACAGCCCTTGCTCCCTGCGTGTCACCCACCCAGTACAGCGCTTCGTGGCCCCATAGGGGGCTCCATCGAAGGTCCCAGTGGCATCGCCCGCATGCGTCCGCCATCACCCAGCACAGCCCTTGCTCCCTGCGTATCACCCACCCAGTACAGCGCTTCGTGTCCCCATAGGGAGCGCCACCGAAGAAGATATTCGTGATTGCGGTACTCACAGCTGCATATGGTTGGGTCTTTCGCTAGGCTAATTTTTGTTGCTTGACCATCTTGAAATAATTCACTCCGTTATCAGTGATGGTAGGCCGGTGTTGCTCTGAGTGGTCACGGTTATGTTGGATGTGGCCGTGAGTATAAGTGGGCGCGTGGAATATAACAGGTGTTGTGGTTGATGGCACTCGGTGGTGATGGACGGATTTCTATGTTTCACTGTCATATCTGCATTACCTTCTGCGCTGATCGGGGAACGGGAGAAGCGAGGCCCGAAACCAGGCGAGAGCGTTACCATTGATGGGCGGATTTCCCAGCACAACTACCATAGGTAGGAGGAAAAGGAGGAGGAGGAGCAGGAGGAGGCGGCTGAGGAGGGGGAGGACGAGGAGGGGGAGGGGGAGAAGCAGAAGGATGAGAGGAGGAGGAGGAGGAGGAGGAGCAGGCGGACCTCCCCGTCCTCCTTCCTCCCCCCGTCCTACCTTTGGCAGTGGTGGCGGTGGCGGGAATGCGGGGCCCGGTTGCAGACGCCCCGTGCAGGACCCTACTGCAGAACCCGAAATGTGGCTCTCGCCCTGGCGTCGCGATCGCTCGCCTGGAAGCACATCATCCAACAGTTGCACGGATGGATCAAGGGGCCCAAGGACACACAAGTGAACACACACAAATACAATGATTCCCCATCTGTTCCCATGTTTTCTGGGCTTTTGTCTCCCCGCCCAACTCCCATAGTCTCCCATGTTTTCCTGGGAGTCGACGAATAATTGTGTCTGTGTGTTTTTTCCCCTCATGAATTGAAGCCGCATCGCTTTCGGCTGAAGCTTTCGCCTGAGACCTTCTCGACCACGATTCTGGTCAGCCCGTGTCATAAGGATGCGCGGTAGGGATGCACGGCCTTTGAGGGCCACGTCAGCGCTTTTCGCACGAGGTTGGCCAGCGAGAGTCGCTAAGAATGGACCGAAGGGGCAAGGATGCGAGGCTATCCTCGGGAAAATTGCCCATCCTTATCATGCGGGTTGACTGCACAACAAAGGGAAAACAAATGCAACACCGTGCAACAACTGCACGGGTGAATGAGATTCCTGCTGGGAATGGAACTCTGGCCTGAGACACCGCTGGACTTCACGGCCACACGTCTGCAGCTCCTGCAGCGGCTGAACGGATGGGGGGCGGATCCCTTTTCAAAGCGGGGCTGGCGCTGAGAACCTGCTTACAGCATGCGCACCACGCCGCAATTGCGGATAAGAATCCGGGGGCTGGCGGGGGTTGGGTTGCGGGTGCTGGCGGCGCGCACAAGGGTGTGGGGGGAGGGGGGAGGGCTTCTTAGAAGCAGGCTGCTTCTTAGAAGGCGCCGGCCTTACATCTATAGATACGGCCCGCGCCTTCTAAGAAGCAAGGGTGCTCCTAAGAAGCCCTCCCCCCTCCCCCCACCCCGGGGGCTGGCGGGTTGCGGGTGGGTTGCTGGGTGCATCGCGG